GAGAATTACAGCTCAGGCTACAGTATTAATGTACATTTTAAGGATGGCAAATGAAACTGAGTCTTTCTTTATTTCTTGGGATGATTTCTGGGACCTCATTTGCAATCTAATAATTAGTGGGTGCGATTCTACCCTAACTGTGCTAGGCATGAGTGCTGTAATTTCTTCAATAGCCCATTATTTGGGCCTTGGAATCTTGGCCTTTATTGGATCAACTGAAGAAGACGACAGGCGGCTTGGCTTCGTAGCACCTGTTTTGTTTTTCATTTTGGCTCTTCAGACTGGTTTAAGTGGGCTGAGACCTGAAGAGAGACTTATTCGCTTGAGTAGAAACATGTGCCTTTTATTAACTGCAGTCCTGCATTTCATCCATGGAATGACAGACCCCGTGTTAATGTCTCTCAGTGCCTCCCATGTATCATCATTCCATAGACACTTTCCTGTGCTGTTTGTTTCTGCTTGCCTGTTTATTCTTCCTGTTTTACTCAGTTATGTCCTCTGGCATCACTATGCACTAAACACATGGCTGTTTGCGGTCACAGCCTTCTGTGTGGAGCTCTGCTTGAAAGTGATAGTCTCTCTCACCGTTTATACGCTGTTCATGATCGATGGCTACTACAACGTCCTCTGGGAAAAGCTTGATGATTATGTCTACTTCGTTCGCTCGACAGGCAATATTATCGAATTTATATTTGGAGTGGTAATGTTTGGGAATGGGGCCTATACCATGATGTTTGAGTCAGGAAGTAAAATTCGGGCTTGTATGATGTGCCTACATGCATATTTTAACATCTACTTACAAGTAAAAAATGGCTGGAAGACATTCATGAATCGTAGAACTGCTGTTAAGAAAATCAATTCACTTCCTGAAATAAAAGGGAGCCACTTGCAAGAAATCGATGATGTATGTGCAATCTGCTATCATGAGTTTACAACATCCGCTCGTATCACACCATGTAATCATTACTTCCATGCACTGTGCCTTCGAAAATGGCTGTACATTCAAGATACTTGTCCAATGTGCCATCAAAAAGTGTACATCGAAGATGATATGAAGGACAATTCAAATATATCTAACAACAATGGATTTATTGCACCCAACGAAAATCAGAATCCAGAGGAAGCTTTAAGAGAAGATGCTGCTGGATCTGACCGAGAATTGAATGAGGATGACAGTACAGACTGCGACGATGATGTTCAAAGAGAAAGGAACGGAGGGACTCAGCGTACAGGCGCAGCAGCAGCAGCAGAATTTAATGATGACACTGATTAAAGTAGCATTTACTAATCATTGAGGTATTTGTTTAAAATTCAGTTCATCCAAAATGGAGTACTATGCTTCATGTCAGTGTGTAACCAAGCACAAAAACAGTATCGCTGTTGAAACTGTGAATGATTTTCCGTTTACTGTGATGTGCTACTGTAAATATACCTCTTTAATTACTTCTGGTCTCTTTGGTGACCTATTTAAATTTGTGTACATTATTGTACATAGAATAAAATGTTTTCACGTTTCTATGACAAAATTTGAACAAATAACTTCTTAATAGAAATTGTGATGATACGGTGCGTCAGCTGTGCCAGAGAGTCCTCCGTGAAGTTAGAACATATCTAATGCTGGACCCAGAGTCCTCCGTGAAGTTAGAACATATCTAATGCTGGACCCAGAGTCCTCCGTGAAGTTAGAACATATCTAATGCTGGACCCTAGCTTTTCTTTAAAATAAGGGGAAAATGCAAATGCAAATAAAGGAACTTTAGTATAAAATTAAAGATGAGATAAAATAATTTGGATTAGAAAGGCTACTAATTTTTCTTTTTTAAACGAAGGGACAATAACCTGCAAGAAGCAACTGAAAAACTTGAAGTCCAAGCTGTAATAGAGCTGGGTTCAAAAGTCATGAGTCAGGGACTGAAAATTGAGAAATAGGCTTGTTATCAACTAAGCTTTGATACAAACCAGGATGTGCTGTGCAAGTTTTAGGTAAAAACATCACTGTCCTTTCAAACTTTTGGTGAAATTACACAATAAAAAGGTTACCATGGTTAACCAGGACATCAACAGCCTAGCCAGTGCTGCTCTGACTCTGAGTCAGAGTGAGGGTATAATGTACAGTGTTACCGCGTTAGAGAGCCACTGGAGAGATCTCCTTAATGACACTTACAGTTTTACCATGAAATTCCAGATCATAAAAAGAAAATACGTACAAATAAGCGTCAGGAAAAAAATACTTTAATGGTGTTGTTATATAGCGTGTTGGCTAATTCCAGTGGATCTTCCTCTCTTACTGCTGCCATGATCTCCAATATTTGGCTAAAACAAAACACAAAAGAATCAACTTTCTAAGAATATATTGTTTTAAATTAAAGGTGATTATATATAATCACCTTTTCCTGTGTAAGAGATCTTGTACCCTTCCTAAGGAAGTTTAAGAGTTATTAAAGTTGTCAGTAATAACAGTAAGAAAACATTACTAGTTGTTGGCAGTCAAAGTTCTGGAGCTAACATGCAGATAAAGAAAACTAGAAACTAGGGTCATGTAAGTGCAGCGCTAAGGCTGCAGGGGGTATGAGTCCTTTAAGACAGTAGGTCACAGCACATTTGTTACTGGATAATGAGCATCTGAAAACTGAAATGTACGTTGCACATAATACAGGTTCCTTTCTCCTTTGGGTTTCATTTTATTTATATTTATACATATACATATATATATATATATATATATATATATATATATATATATATATATATATATATATATAAAATGATGGTGTTGGGGAGAGCAGGGCCAAAAACTTGAAAGACACTGCTTACTGAACTAGTCTTTAACAGACAGCAAGGGATGGTTGTGTGCACAGTAAACACATGATGGCAGGTACAGAGAGTGTGGCTGTGGGAGGGTTGCGGTCTTGTGCTCAGAGCAGAGAGAAGAGCCTAGAGGCCTCTCCCTGTGTCTCTGCAGAAAACGATGATCAACAGTGATGGTTTCCAGGCAATATTATCTGTAAGTAGTTTTTAAACACAGATTAGAAAGTTGTGGTCCAAATTAAATATTTAAATATTCCTTGTCATGAGCTTTTTGTTCCCTTTATGAGTACCCTGATTGAACACCCAAAATAAGTAGGATAGGGATTTAAGATTAGCTGGAATTTTAAAGCCTGTTCTCAGTATGACACAGACACGGACAAGGAACTCTGTGACACTGAAGCAGTGAGCTTGAGGACGTTTCTGTGCGCAGACTGCATTGGTAAGGGTGCTGCCGCTGACAGAGAGGGCCCAGAGCACAGCTGCTCTGCTGAGATGTGCAACAGAGTCACCCTGCTATTCAGATGTGCTACAGTCGCTGTGCTTAGGAAAGCATTCTGTTTAGGGGGTCAGCCCTTGTATCCAGTGTATTTCTCTGTAGCTTCGAGGCATAAAGCTGCAGTTATTTTTTAAGTATAGCATTACTGTGACACTTTAGTTTTCAGTCCTAAGTGTGTGTGGCAGTGGTTGTGTGTGGGTATGTGTACATACATGAATGCATGGACCAGAAGAATCAGATTTCCCTGGAGCTGAAGATACAGGTGGTTGTGAGCTGCCTAATATGTGGTGCTGGGAACATCTCAGTTCTCTCAAGTGCGCTTAATCTCTGAGCCATCTTTCCAGCCCCTACTGGGACACACTTACACGAGGCACAGGCATTAAAGTCTTGCAGTATCAACCCATCACCTTTCAGTGTTCCCCACAATGACCAACAATTAACTCTGGAACAACAACAACAAAGTGGATGTACACATGATGATTCAGGACTAACCCCAATAGGTGGGAGACAGAAGTAGGGAGATTAAGGATTCAAGGTCACCCACTGCTGTATAGCAACTTCTAAGCCGCCTGGGCTTCCTGAGACCCTGACTCAGGTAAACATCACCATTCTCCTGTTTTAGTCTCTTTGGGTCATGATGAAATCTACACTGCTGCCAGACAAAAGCCCCAAGGATCTGGTCTCACTTTGCTGTCCCAGATTTCTCTTCTTCCACTCAACTCACCCTATTTTCTGCCACACTAAGTACATTGTCTCCCTGACACTGCCAGGCTCTTCTGCAGCCTGCCTTTGCTCAACATTTGTCTTTATCCGACCCGACTGCAGGCCTGCTTAGGAAACAGCTAAATTCCACATTAGTAAAGCATGCTCCTAGAACCTCTTAGGGCAGACAGTTGTTAGTTCCAGGGTTGCAGTCATAGACTGAGACCTACTGCATCTGCTTGTTTGCTCCAAAACTGCTGCCACACTGACCCTACTCATCCAGGAGGTGTGTGATCGTAAGAACTATTGGTTCTCCTAGGTAGCCTCCGTAAGTTGCCCATTTCCTGACACAGCAGGAGCGCCAAAATGTTTCAAGAAATTTATAGCCTAAAGGAAAGGAAGACCTATATATAAACAGTTAAATAAAAATTCAGTGGAGTGGAAGTTAACAAATTGTAAGTAGCAGAGGCACAGCCATCTGAAATGTTGACATTTTCAGCTTGCAAACGCTAGTTTCCCCGAGCTCTGCCATTTAGCTAACTGCAGGACAGGCTGATGCACTGCTTTCAGTTCTTAAGTCTGCATTAAAAATTCCGTAAGATTTGCCTTGCAAGTGTACAGCTACCGCCAACAGCTATGATTTTTACAAGGCATTAAGTACAGAAAACACATTGGCACCACATTCTCCAAGTAGTGTGTGTATTTGCCAAGTGGCCGTAGTGAAATAACAGCTTCTTTATTGTTCCTGGATCTCTACTGTCCCCTTAGACTGTCGAAGAATTTTGAGAAATAATGTCTTCTAATTGAACCTGCAAATTCTTCCACCACCTCCAGTCAAAAAAAAAAAAACCCAAAAAAACAAAACAAAACAAAAATGCCTGAAGTGGTATTTTACAAGCAGAGTACAAAGATCCCTCACCTCGGAGGTTTTAAGCATCAGTTCAAAACTCTGCCAAAACCAGCGTGTTAAAGACAAAAGACCCATATGCATGTGTAGAAGGATACTTTAATTGGCTTTTCTGCCTGCTGAATTTTAAATCTGGCTTATACTCTATTATTACAAATTAAGGCATATTTTCAAGACATTACTATCTACCAGAAACAATTTGATAACTAATCTTTATAAATGTTGGAGATAAGCCTACAGCAGCAAACCACACTAGACCAATAAAGTCTAGACTTAATCTGGATAGGTGTCCATAAAATGATATGATCAACTTTTCCTGTTTGCCAGAAGATTCTTCACAGCTCTCTATACATATCCTATTCTGGAATTCTGCCTTCTGTTTTTCAGGGGAGGCTTCGAGAACTGGTACCTCCCCGGAGTTGTTGCTTTTGTCCATATTTAACATTTAGATAACCATTAACTGAAGGTCACCCAACAGGTGATAAACAATAGCAGGGAAGGTACATTGGACTGACTCTATGGCACATTTTAAGTAAGAAATGACCAAAGCCACTGAGGCAGTAAAATCATTTGGATGGAAAAGATGTGAACCTAGGAAATGACACAGCAATGCAGGTAAACCCAGGAGATGACAGCAATGCAGGTGAACCTAGGAGATGACACAGCAATGCAGGTGAACCTAGGAGATGACACAGCAATGCAAGTGAACCTAGGAGATGACAGCAATGCAGGTGAACCTAGGAGAAGACACAGCAATGCAGGTGAACCTAGGAGAAGACACAGCAGCAATGCAGGTGAACCTAGGAGATGACACAGCAATGCAGGTGAACCTAGGAGATGACACAGCAATGCAGGTGAACCTAGGAGATGACACAGCAATGCAGGTGAACCTAGGAGATGACACAGCAATGAAGGTGCACAGATTTCCAAACCTGAACTTAAACTTGACTTGGGGTCAAGTGCCAGTGGACGGCTTATCACTGACCACAATGCACACCTTGTTTGTTTGAACTAGCCTGAACCTGACTGGGATGCCAGAGACTCTGTCCCTATTCACTGCGTGACAGTCATTGGTCATCTCTGACATCTGTAAAGACCATTCAAGAAAACAACTTACATTATATGGCAGGGCTCGTTTCTGTCTTTTAAACAGAACCCGTTTTCCCATTTCTTTTTGGTAGGAAATGACGTTTTTATGTATTTTGATCCAGCATGTGTACTTTTAACTCCACACCAAGGCGCATCTAGAGTTGGGAGAAGGGGAAAGAAGGTATTAAGGGATTTACTTTTCTAAATATTTTTCATGAATATTACACTAGTACATAACCTGAAATTATAAGGCACTAACTTCCAAAACGGCAAAATTAATGCACCAGAAAACAGTTCCAAGAAAAGCGCAATATAAAGTTCCAAGCTGCACCTTGGAAAAAAGACTGATTTTTATTTTATTTCCTTACTAATGTGGCTAGTATATGACATGCTTTGGGGGAAGAAAAACAGCAAGAAGTATCACTGAAATGCGTCAACATTTTAAGACTGCTCTATGTTGCTTCTACTGTGTGTGGAAGCATGGCTGTGAACCCTGCATGTCCCCCAGTATCAGGAATGCCAGGCAAACACTGCCACTGAGCGAGTGCCCTGTTACTTCTTTTCAAATGACTTGCACATTATACAGGCATTGTACTTCCAGTAACATTGTTTTCACGACTGTCTAAAGAAATAAACTTATTTCCCTAGAGTGGCTCAGTCTACAGACTTTAATAAACCAGCAACCCTTGAGTTACAGGGTTAGGTCAGAGTCCAGATTTTGAACTTGTTTTAAGAGATAACATTCAGTTTGTTTGTAAGGGCTATGGAAGTAAGCCACTATAAAAGAGGTAAGAGTATCTCAAACCCTAATATAAACTACTTCGAGGAGCCATTTCATAAATATTCATAAATACAGACTCTAGTTATCACAGATTCTGTCATCTTTTTTGAGGTTTAGCCAAATGGAAAATAGAAATTTATACAACTACCTTTCCATTAGTAATCACCTCCAAAAATCTAAAAACCAACCAAACAACCATATATTGGAATTAAAACTAGAAGTCCAGTGTCCTCTACCTTTTTGGGGGAGGGACATTAGGGTTTAATATAAAACTTGAATTTCTGGAAACATCAACTTACCTGTTTCAATCATTAGTTTTTCACTAGGTATTGACTTCAGAACTTCCAAGTTAGCTTCTGTTTTCAGTGAGCTTGAAAACAATATTTAAAAATTATATTTAGTGAATAATTCAACTTCAAATCTGCCTGTACTTTTGCCCCTTTTGTAACATTTAAACAATATGATTTTTACTTGTATCTGTATAGGTATGCATGCATGCTGTGTGAATGTCATGTGTATGGATAGCCTCAGAGGCCAGCAGATTCCTTGCAAGTCACTCAACGTGGGTGCTAGAAACCGAACTCAAGTCCTTTGGAAAGCAGCAGGCGCGCTAACTACTGAGCCAGCTGTCCGGCCCCCAGACCCTTCAATGCAGAGTGTGATGCAGTACTGGAGCTAGAATGGGGCACAGTGAGTGTTCACATTAAACGAGTCACACCTTTTCTCATACTTACAGTTGAATGGTTTTTTTGGGGGGGGGGTTCTAGATAAAGTTTCTCTATGTAACAGTGCTGGTTGTCCTGGAACTAAGAGATCCACCTGCCTCTGCCCCCCATGTGCTGGGATTAAAGACGTGTGCCACCACTGCCAGGCTCCAGTTGAACTTTTAATAAACTTTATATATTAACCTAAGTAAAATTTAAATTAAAGTATTTGTATAACTTAGAATAATCCTGAGGCTGTTAACTTGTACCATTTAAACTTGTTTCAGCCACTGGAGCAGACTTCCTGCTTCCACATCCTCCCTGTCCTATGAGACTTCCGTATTTGCACCCTCACTGAATGTGGCCAAACTCCAATCTTGAACGTGGCCTTGGCCTCCAGACTTGCTCTGGGATAATGCTAGCGTGGCCATAGCAATGCACCTTCTGTGGTTAGAACAGGATGGTGCAGTGTCTCAGCAGCATTACTGATTGTGACCCTTTCAACCAGGTACCCAGAAAGAAAACCTGGCAGCCACACCCAGCTTACCCGAGACCTGGGTGGGAATGCAGATGCCTTTAACTTGCCAGTGAGTCAGTACTCCGGTGTCTACAAGTCCTATGCGCTTTGTGCATTCATTCCTACTTGATCATGGCAACCAATGATCGTTTTACTGTTCCTTGATAATCACCTCACCCAACAACACTTTCTGGTTAAACTAATAGACACCTGTTACCCAACTCATCGTCATAAAGCAAAACACAAAAGGAGAAACAATAACTTCTAAGTGTTAACTGACTTGAATGTTACAGACTAGAGAAAGAGACTAGCAAACAGTTTCACCTGAGCAATGCCCCAGAACACGGTACCTAGAATGCTGAGCTAGGACAGGGAATGGGAACTGAAATGGTTTCAAGTCTGGGCAGAGAAATGATGAGGTACATGGATTACCTGTGACTCGGGGATGGGTGAAGAAAACACAAGTTAGAATGGCTTGGGGACAGCCAGCACGGCAGAGCAGGAACATAGGACTGAAGATGCAGACTGAACTGGGAGTCCCCTCTTTAAGCTCACTCTCCACCAGAGCATTGCCGTTACATTTATAAATCCCTATCCCACTTTTCTTTTTTCTTTTTTTGTTGTTTTTGTTTTTTGTTTTTCAAGATAGGGTTTCTCTGTAGCTTTTGGAGCCTGTCCTGGAACTAGCTCTTGAAAACCAGGCTGGCCTCAAAGTCACAGAGATCCATCTGCCTCTGCCTCCCGAGTGCTGGTAAGATTAAAGGCGTGCCCCACCAACTCCTGGCACCTATCCTACTTTTCTATAAAGATCACAGGCCATCCTTCTGCAGAAAATCAATCCAAAAAGGTCTCCACTAAAGGAAGGACACGTGGGAATCCGCTGTGGGAAAGTCCAGCTGTCACCTGAGCCTGCCAGTTGACTGACTCACCTAGAGCTTCCAAAAAGTTGTTTGTGACAAGATGTCATGTAGCCCAGGCTGGCTTTAGGGGCAGGTATGTGCCACCATGCCCAGCATTTTTTTTCTTCCCTAAACATCAAAGGACTATCTGGCGTTTGAAGAGAGTATCTACCATAAAAGAGACCAAGCACATTAGGGAGACAGGACTAAGATAAAAGCAGCAGAACAGAAAGAAAGCGACTCCAGCTAGAACATCTTCAGACAGAAGGCACTCCGTCTGTCAAGACTGTGGTATATGAGAACTTTAGAGCTAGGAATGAAAGATGAAATATATTCCATTTTTAAAAGTTGAAAATAAAGCAAATTTTAGAAGGTGTTAAAGTAGAAATGGAAATTATAGAAAAGATAATACCAGTTCCCAATTCTGAGATGTCCCCCAAAAAAGAAAGGGTATTCCCAGAAGTGATTTAAAAAGAAGAGAAGGGGGAGGAGGAGGCTCCACCTGCAAGGGGCAGTGTGTGAGCAGCAGGATGAGTGACGAAAACAAGAGTCCCCAAATATCCAGACACCCGTGACACCCACACGGACTAACCCTACTCGAGGAAAGGGCTGGAGCACTGAGGAGCAGCCAGCTGTCACAGGCCAGCACTGGAGCTACTGCTGGAGAGTCACAAGTGGGTCCCCTTCCTTTCATTACTGTCCAAGCACACTTTTAAGAATAAAAGAAAACAAGGTCTCATGAAAATTTTCTCAGGAATCAAGGAATGTGTTCACCAAACCTAACAGATGACACCATGGTAGTTCACGTCTGTATCTCAGGACTCTGAGGCGGAGGCAGGGGTGCTCAGGTCATCCTCAGCACACAGTTCACATGAGTTCATCTCAAAGCAAAACAAAACCCACACCAGAATACATGAGATCCTGGGAAGTAAAAATACAGGGTTCTATCACAGAAGAGACAGGAGTCCAAATAAATAGACGGGCCTGGAACTAACAAACTAACTAAATAGGATCCCTCATGGAGAAAACCAAATAAGACGTTTGTATGGAGCTATAGAAAGTGCCAAATAGTGAAGTAGTGACTCACTGTGTAGCCCAGGCCTGCCTCATGATCCTCCTGACTCGGCTTCCTGGGAATTAAGATAACAAGCCTGTGCTATTCATTATGCCTGGCTGGGCTTTTAAGTTTTGAAACCGAGGAAATAAAAATGTGAGGTCAGTTACTCCAAGAAAACACAAAGTGGCACATGGAGAGAAAAGTGGGCATAGTCCACCACACAGGCAGCAGGAACTGTACAAACAATGACATCACATAAACCCAGAATCCTGAAACAACACTGGAAGGAAGATAGGGAACAGCGGAAGTAGGGGTCAGAGCTGGTAAAAGGTAATATTACATAGCTGTACAGTGGCAGATAGCTACGTGTTTATAAACTGACTGGGGTGAAGGCATGCTGGGGGAGGAAGCAACAGCTGTTTCTACGTCTTTTAGAATGCTTGACTTCTTAATCACTGTTTGTTTGACTACCAATTTATAAATGTACCATTTCTTAGGAAAGAATTGCCCTGAGCCCTATAGGAATAAGCATTGCCACCATTCGCTTCCCTAAGAATTTACACCTAATGTCACCAGTGAGCACTGTAAGGGCAACCCTGAAAGGGGGCAAGCAGGTCGTACTCTCTTCTGTAACTTCACCAACTCCTAAGACGACAACCTGTAGAAAACGCTTGTGTATCTGACAGAACAAGGCCAGGCCCTTGCTGCGCTGGCTGACTTGGAGGCTGAGTGAAGTTTAGTATGGAGTTACAGAGGAAAGGTCACTGGGCGTGAGCCAGAGGACAGGTTCTCACACCTGTTTCCTAACTCCTGTGGCCTACAGAAATATACAATGACTGTCATAAAATACTCTTCCCCTGGCCAACACGTGAGCCTTACATAAAGTGCTGTGAACGTGTAGCTGTGAAAAGCGTGGGAAAACCTGAGAACAGACTGGATTGCTAAAGAAAGTCAGCTGCTGACCTCAACACAATTGTTTGCAGGATCAGAATGCAGCCTAACAGCATGTATCTTTTGAGCACTGGCCCGTAATAACAATATACTACTTAATTTCTTACGTAAGTGGTTAGTAAACTTCTTGGACAAGGATCAATGCAGAGCATACAAACTTTAATAAATCTGCTAATATAAAAATCATGGAAAACAAAACACAGCCTAAGAACGTACCAACCATTAAATCCTATGTAAAGGTCCAGGTCAATCAAAGCAGCCGCTGCTTCCTTCGTCCCATCAAATGAATGCACCTAGGGATATAAACATAAGTATAGTAATCTAAAAATCCACAGTAGCATTGGTGTACTTTCTAAACAAAACCAGAGATGACTGTAAGGGTTTGACACAGGGTTTGTTAATGTGGTAGCACATGCAATCAATGTTTTTCTTTCAAACCAGACTTGGTAATCACAACCTATCATCATTTCTGGTGACACAAAACACGGAGTTAGCTGCCTAAGATTTCTCTGCAGCTGCCCGAGTGTTGCTACAATCACCCTCTCCAGACTCTCTGCAAAGGACACAAGAAAGGGAGCCACATTCTTACACAGGAGGAGGAAGGGGCTGAAACACCCATTTAAAATATAAAATACTGAAAATCCCATTGCATTTCTCTGCCAGAGGATACTTTTAGAGGAGAAATGATCAATCATTAAGAGGTAAGCTTTAAGAAGCTCTATACAGTGGTGAGAATGTTGCTTTTAAAATGTCACTTGTGGGCCTCAGCAGTTAGAGTGCTTATGCTTTTGCAGAGGATCTGGGTTCAATTCCCAGCACTCACACTGACTAACTCCAGTTCCAGGGGATCTGATGCCCTCTTCTGGTCTCAGTGAGTACCTGTGTGTGTGTGTGTGTGTGTGTGTGTGTGTGTGTGTGTGTGCATGAAACATAAATAAAAGTAAATTAAAAATGACAATTGTTACATTATCCACATCAGCCACACAGGCAAAAAGGGCTGAGATCTTTTTTTTTTTTTCTTGCTTTAGGTGTCTGTATCTAATAAAAAGCAATAACTAAAAGTAACACTGCTTTACAAATGAAGTCAGGTCACCACTGTCCAAGGAGAACATGTCTCAGCTATGTTATACAGCTGCCTGTAAGATTTGATTTCCCCTCAGCATTTCCAGTGATAGAAAGATAATTTAAAATGTGATTTCTTATAAGCCAGCTCAGAGCACTTGTTGTTAATGCCTTACTGGGCAGTTTCTTTTATTAAAGTCAGACATTTCAGTTGGCTCTGCTCTTCCTGGTATTAACTTTTTGAAGTTATAGACTCATGTGATTAAAGTTTTACTTAGAAATAAAGGAAATGAGTGAGGGGGAAGTCTAGAATGACAATAAATACCATCAGTAATGCCCAGGTCATTAATTAAAACCTTTCTCAATTCCTAAGTATAGCTCCTAGAGGTAAAATTACAGAGCACAGACTTAGTAAACTACAGAGGAGATGTGCGAAGTACATTAACATGAGAGCCACATGGAAATAACGTGTACCTCTCGCTAGTGGCATGAAACATCAAGCAGGGAAAGCCTTGAAAAACAGATGAGGTCGGAGAGATGGCCCCTTGGGTGAAGGTGCTAACTGACTAGAGTTCAGTTCCTGAGACACACGTGATGGAAGGGGAGAGCCAACTTCTGCAAGCTGTCCTCTGACCTACACACAGCATGGCACAAATCTGTACACGTTCACATACACACTAGATGTAATAAAATTACAAGTGTGTTCCAAGCAAAGCCACATAAATGCTCAGGGTTAGGTCCTATTTCCTTGATCGGCACAATGGAACTGTGATTTAAATACCTAAGTAACAACCTTAACCCCAAGAGATGGTCATTGAATCTCCTGAAATTGCATTTGAAATTTTATGCATTTTTTTTGCATTTTTTTTTTTTTGAGACAAGGTTTCTCTGTGTAACAGCTCTAACTGTCCTGGAACTAGCTCTGTAGACCAGTCTGGCCTCAAACTCACAGAGATCTACCTGCGTCTGCTCCCCTAGTGCTGGGATTAAAGGCATGTGCCACCACTGCCCAGCTTGTAATTTTTTAAGGCAGATTATTTACTGAAGCCTATGATCCAAAACGACTAGATCACTATCAGAGATGCAACAGCCAAGGGATAGTAGAGAATATTTATGGGAAATGTATCAAGAGTAATGACTAAAATCACCACAAATGAGGAACATTTAAGAACAGAATATACATCATAGTAGACGGGCTCAAATCAGAGTGAAGAGAATGGCTACCAGCCAGCAAACGAGGAAAGCAAACCTGAATGACGCTAGAAGCATTGGTTTGTGTCGCGTCTAAACAGAAGAGCACTGCAGGATGGGTGGTGGGAAAGACTGCACACTAATAGCTGTGTTCATTCATATTGTTTCCTGCGAGGAGAATTCGGCACTCATTCTTATACTTTGTCAGAAGTATGACTAAAATTGGTAACTGTTTATACACCATCTGGCCTGTAAACCCAGCAGTAAACTTCCATGTCTTTCAGCTAAAAGACTCAATAACTTTACTTTTGATATCTGAGTGAGCCGAAGCCAACCTTAATAACATAGACATATCTGTGTATCCCACACTTAACACAGCCATTGATACTTACCACTCCACCCACACAGCGGTCTCTATTTCTTCTCATTATGTCTGTGAATTAAAAAACAACAGCTTTCAGCTACTTCAGTCTAACTGCCACACGGTTTTTAAACTGTAATGATTTTTCACTTTTAACTCACCCAAAAAGTCGGCATGTGAGTTTCGACAATGAAGAAACATTGGTAACTGTGTCTGTTCTGACAGTTCAAACTGTTTTTCGAAATATCTGCACAATGCAAGAAAATTTCCACACTAAAATTTTATTTATTTATATCAAATAAATTTTAACTAAAGGAATTTTATTATCTAGAAATGGGAATATGAAAGTGAAAATATTGGATCCAGATATTAAAAACCATCAGGTTCTTTTCGGCCACTTAGCTTCTGGAATGGGATGCTTCATTTACTAGGATTAAAATCGATTTCCACTATGTCCATTGGTGTCTCCGTTTAAATTGGTGACCTATTTCTTTATTAACTAATCCTGCTGGGCTAGAATAAGCAAAAGTGATTTTGTTTCGGTTAAAGTGAAGTCATTTTGCAGGCTAGGAAATATAAAAACTTGGAAGAAAAGATTAAGATTACTAGTAGTAAGCTGGGCACAGAGCCAAGAGTCCTTGTCTGGCATGCACAAAGCCTGGGTTCAATCCCCGGCACCACTTGAAAGCAAGTGCGGTAGATCAGGACTGCATTTTCAGCACTTGCAAAGTGGAGACATGATCAGAAGTTTAGCTGATCTTCAACAACCTAATTAGTTTGAGGCCAACCTGGGTCACATGAAAACTGTTTCAAAAGAACCCCCAAGAATTACTACTAGCCACATATTCCATAGCCACTAAAGTAGTACATGTGCCAACATTCAGTGTGCTCTGTCACTGTGTAAATGTGACCATGCAGCTATACACCATAGGCGACTATCTCCCCAAGGTGCTCACCACACACACCCTATGGCTAAGCCATATCACCAAGTCACTGTTTTATAGAACTAAACAGTTTATAAAGTAGCTTCTTGTCACAAACTAGGCAAATGTATAATTCATTAAAATAACAAAAGCCTATAATGTGCCCAGAGAATTTTACATAATTCAAGAGGAAGAAAGATCCATGAGTTTAAGCTAGATAGGTCTTGTGGGGTCATGTGGTATGTGTGTGGAGGGCTCTGGAGAAATGGCTTAGTGGTTAAGAGCACTGGCTGCTTTTCCAGGGCACAGGTTCACTTTCCAGCACCATGTGTAACTGCACAGGTTCACTTTCTCACAACCATGTGTAACTGCAGTCCCGGGGCTCTGATGCCCTCTTTTGGTCTTTGCTGGTACTGCACACACATATGCAGGCAGAACACTCATATACATAAAAATATATGTTTAAAAAGTCAAGTGCTGGCGGGCAGTGGTGGCACACACCTTTAATCCCAGCACTAGAGAGGCAGAGACAGGCAGATCTCTGAGCTCGTGGCCAGCCTGATCTACAGAACAAGTTCCAGGACAGGCCCAAAGTTACAGAGAAACCCTGTCTCAAAAAAACAAAACAAAAAAAGTCAAGTGGGGGCTGGTGAGATGATTCTGCAGGACGAGGATGGAAGCTGAGGCCTAAGTTCAATCCCCAGCACACACCAAAGTAGGACGAAGAGAACCAAGTCCACACCACAGTTGGCCTCTGACCTGCACTTGCATGACACGGCATGCCTGCTCCCTCACAAAAATAAAATAAGAATCTTGAAAAGTTCCACATGGCTAAACAAAACAAAAACACACTACTAGTACACACTGAGGATAACAGGTATGTAACATCAAATAGCTGCCTTTTAAAGTGGAAAAACAAAACCAACCAGCAAATGACATAAGTTACAGAGCAGGAACTGACAAGAGTCAGAAGCTTCTTCTGTTTATTTGACTTATAACTCCTTCCGGCTCATAAACGACAATCCTGTCACAGCTCTGCCTTACTCGGGTTAAGCACTACTTCTGGATAGCTTGGGTCAACACTGAGGACAGGGCTTGCCAAGGGCAGCTGCGGGGCAGCAGCTGTTCCTGGTTAAGACTGGGCGGCTCCAAAAGCCCAGCGTGTGACACTGTGGCTGACAGCCTGGATGACGTCAACCCTCGAGGGTCACCTAAGCATCCTCACAGTAATATTTTCAAATCTTGTCTGATGCCTGTTAAAAAAAAAAACCTACATAATATTAACATTGTAAAGCCCCAAGAAAAGTGTCTGGAGCAAGTGGAACAGGGCATCTAAGTTAGAAACACTGCTATGACTCAAAAGATAAACTTTCATAACCAAAGCAGGCCTTTTCCTGTTCCCATTCCTTGTTTCACCTTCTTGTTCTCTAAAAAAGCGCTTCTCGGGGCTGGAGAGGTGGATGGTTCCCTGGTTAAGAGCAATGGCTGCTGTCACAGACAACCATGTTCAGTTCCCAGCGCCCACAGGACGGCTGCTTCACAGCGCCTGTAACTGCAGGTACAGGGGATCTGACACCCTCTCCTGACTTCTATGTGCATATACATGGACACAGTGATGTATTTTTTCTGGCACCCTCTCCTGACTTCCATGTGCATATACATGGACACAGTGATGTGATGTATTTTTTTTAAAGCATTCCTCAAAAACCCTCAACGAAAGCCACAGCTGGCATTTTCCTTTAGAAGCCGTAATTGTTGAGTAGTCAATCTCAATCTGTCCAGGCAGGCACTATGAACTTTACCCATCATATACTGAAAAAAGAGGGACAGAGGCATCCTCATGCTAACAATGAGAACACTTAAGCGTATAAAGGAATAGACAACCAGGGAGCAGCAAGACTGTGTCCCACCTCAGGCCTGCTCTCCGAAGACAGTATACTTTACCCATTACAGGTGCATCTACTTATATTTCTCACACGCAATAACTATTACACTTTTATAAAGGGGAAAATGTTTTTTATAAAACCAACAAATCATATACTAGATTAATATTTCACATGCCATAAAAAAAAGCCAGGTATGGTGGTACATGCCTTTAATCCTAGGATTCAGGAGGCAGAAGCAGGAGGATTTCAGTAAGTCTACATAGTGAGTTCCAGGTCAACTAGGACTACAGGAAGAAGGAAAAAAAAAACAAAAGAAAGAATAGCTCAAGGGTCTGGGGAGGTGGCTTGGTAAATAAAGTGTCTGTGGGCATTCATGTGATCCTGAATTTGATATCCATGTAAAAGAAGAGTCCCAGGTCCCAGTTATGAACCCTGCCTCAAAACAGCTGGGCAACTCCTTACTGACATCTGACCTCCATGTGCACACATGTGCATGTGTATCTGTGAGGTCAAGATCTAAATTCTTCCAAAAACAGTAAGTTCAACAATAAAAATCAAATTACAGCCCTTTTATCCATACAGGAAACAGAGAGCACCACCTTCCTCAACTAGACACCAAGGGAACTACACAAGCAGACCTGCTGTATGCTTTCGACACACTGGAAAAAGCATACACAGTCTGCTGTGTATGTTCAATATACTTAGGTACGTATACTGAAATTGATAGACACAGGAAAGATTAGCCTATAAGGGGGTGGGGGGCAAGGTGGGATGGGGTGGGGGGTCCCTGGGTATCTGTCTTCTTGACAACAATCCAAATGAGATCATTACTTCTATAGACATTTTAGAATCTCAAGTTAAAAACTGCCAAGCAATCTTACCAATGTTTTCGCTTTAGTTTGTTCTTAGCTTATTCTTTTTGAAGAGACCAATATCGTGCTGTCATCTTAGCAAAGACATTTCAGATTTCCCTGTTCATCCATCTCCTAGCCGTACACTTTCTGTGTTAGTGGTGGTAGTGGTAGGAATTGAACACAAGTCCTCGAGTGTATACACTTTCCTGACAGCACGTACTAGCCTACAACCATTATTTATAGACTCTCTTGTCTATAAAAGCCGAAGAGCCAAGCTTTACTCTTACCACACTGAAGAGGTACTCAGCAACCATTTACAGAACAGACTGAGCTCCACTCTATTATAGATGCTTGGATGTGTGTTACAGCTTAATCATACCCTGCTATACATACTACGTTCTAATACTGATGATGGAAGCTATCTTCAGAGAAGTAAGTAGAACCTGTGTACACTATCAATACTTTCATGGAGCCAAATCTGGTCTGCAGTATTTAGGTGGTATTTGAGAACCACTTTTAACTCATTGTAGAAGAAAGACCATATGGGCAAGGTATCCTGCGGGACTCTGGGACTCCGGTCTCTGGCTCAGGAAGCTCATCCTGGCCCAGACAGACACTAGAGCGGAGGAATGGCCTGAGAAGCTTCTGTCCCAGTGTGAATCGGTGAACTTTTCAGATTAGGTGAACTGATTACATAGTGTTCAAGAGACAGATCTCAAAGTGTCTCTAACATTACTGGCAGTATAACGTGAAAAGTCTCTCAGGTCATCACACCAGGTGTCATGGATGCTCCCCCCCCCCATCAAATTACAAAATTTATTAAGAGGTAATTTGATCCAGATTCTTCTTCATATCTAAGAAACTACAGTGGACAAACGGTAGATGGTTTGTGTATAAATATATCTCTTGCCACCACTACCAAACAGTCTATGATACAGAACATATCCCTTTGTTCTATCATTCAGATCAGATCCAGTGATTAATCAGCTGGGGATTATTAGTTTCATGCCAAGATGTGTGGTCTTTGTTTCACTTAACTCTTGATATATGCCAGGGGAAGCAACCACACCTTGATATCTAACACCACATGTGCCAAATAAAAATTATTCTTAGGAGTTTACAACCGTTTCTCAAATCAACAAATTTCCTTACTTGAGCTGAGTATCTTTGGGACAAAACTGCAGGCGATCAAAATCTTTAAAAGAAAGAATAACCATTATTCAGGATCTGAACATAACAAGCAGTTATTTTCAAAAGAACGCTAAGTGTGGAGGTTTGCACTTACCGAGTCCACACTCCCCTATTGCGACAACTTTGTCCTTGTTGTTCCTAGCAAGGTCCAGCAATCCCGCTAAGTAACCATCAGGGCTGTTCTTTTCAAATTCATCACATCTTGTGGGATGACACCCAACTGTACTGAAAAACATGTCTAACAGAAAACCACATCTTAGGGTTATTTTCAGAATATCGTTCATATTAATAGCTAACACATTAAAATGAGTGAAAAGGGCAATTTCAACTTATCTTTGATAGCTATAAACAATTCAAACTTCCAGAATTATGTACATTAAACAAATAAGAATTTCTAAATATGTTAAAAAGTGGGATGTGCATATAAAAACTACCTTCAAGTATTAATAAAATAGTCAGTGAATTATTTCCAGAGCTGACCATATATCAAGAATCTGAGAATGGAAAGTGAAATGATTTATTAAAATATCATCTAATTTTATCCTTTTTTTATTTAAATATGGAACGCTTCACAAATTTGCATGTCCTCTTGTACAGGAGCCATGCTAATCTTTGGTTCCAGTTTTAGCAAATGTGCTGCATGTCCTGCCAAAGCAAGCACCCAATTTTCTTTTCTATTTAATGTTTACATGCCATCACAATTCACGTATTTAATAAACAACCACCATATACCCCCCTTAAAAAGGTTAGCAGTAGCGGCGGGAGGTGTTCAAAGTGCCTACTGCTCTGGAAGACGACCAGAGCTTGGTCCCTGTGCCAGATGACTCACAACTGCTGTCACCCCAGCTCCACAGGCACCTGCAGGACTGACTTAGAGAGTGGGAAAGGGGATTTCTTTTACAATAAAAAACAAAGCTCACTACCTGGAGGCCCAACTTTTAGTAGCTTCAATAGTAAAAAACACAAACCAGAAGTCTGGTGTATCAGGGCTGGGAGACTGGCTCAACGGCAGAGTGCATGCACCATGCATAGTGCCCTGGGTTGGGTCTCTAAACCGAGAGACCCAGCTCTGTTTGTTTTAGGAATTCAACAGGAACTTGCAGCCGAACTCAGGGAAGGGTACAGAGCTTTCCTCAGGTTCTCCCACAGGCAACAGGACCAGCAGACGTCTCTTTAGTGGGAGGAAGGATAGTAATAAAGATGGGAGAAGAATTTCTAAACTAAACTGTTAGAGAATGCAAAGCATGGAAGAAAATCTTCCCCCATACTTCAAAAGGTCCTCGGAAGACGATTGTTTTCACGTTTTTAAGATTGAGAGTCAATGCAGCCGAAAGAAAAGCATGCATTTTATAAAGATTTCTATAAAAAACAGTTTTGATAAGATTTCATACATAAAGAAACACAGCTGTACTTAAAAAAAACTGTGTGGACTGCCTAATCTCTAGATTTCTAGCAAAGTATGCATATAAAACAGTTATATGAATGTCAAATAAGCATGGATGTGTGAGCATGAGGTGAGCACCCGGAGAGCAGTGCATTTTCATTTATTAGTGTGTGTGCTGAGGATGCCTCGCCTCCTGAGCTGTGCCTTGCGGGCAGCTGCCCCTCACTGGGAACTGAGCTTGAATCCTCTGCAAGAGCAGCAAATGCTCTCAAACGCCAAGTCATCTCTCTAGCCCCAAGAGTAGTATATTATATTATTACTTAAACCCCTGGGGCCTTACACAAAGTCTGACTCACAAAAGAAGTGTTCAGTAACGATAATCCTCTACAATTTTAGTTAAAAGATTTTATATAAAAACAATTCATATCAAACATTAAAACACGCACATAAAATTTTATATCAGAATTACTTGAAGATGAATTATGTATGTGGGTAACTTTACCCTTATTTACTGAAATCCTAATCTTTGTAAAGCACTACAAGGTTTGTTCAGACATCTGATATACCACAGAGTACTCTGAACTCTGTCGTCATAGGCATGCTCCACAAAAATCGTCTATTTTCCTTCATGTCTATAGTCAGCATTCTCTGTATTTGTACCTTCAGCAGTTCTCAGAAAGACTTCTTCACAATTAATTAATTCACATTTTGTTTAGGTAAAAGTAAGAAGAGGGTACCATTTGTGTGTGCCAACTGCAGAGCATCTTTACTGTCCTGTAGACTTCCACCTGTGATCATAAACTGAAATGGCAAGAAGTAAAGAAGCTGACTTCTCCAGGGCCATCAGCAACTGTTCCCCAAACACCCCCACCAGCTCACTGACGGCGCTTCACTTGCCTCCCCCTTTCTCTATACCTCCCCCTCCTTTACCATTCAGGGGGAAGATCATCTGGTCACACAGTGCTACCTGACTCCTATCCACACACCCTCCCCGCACACAGGATTTCTTTGTTAAACAGTGACGTGTATTCACATGCTTGTCTCTACTAGACCCCCAAGTCTCCTGAGGACGTGATTTATATGCTACAGAAGACAGAATAGCTAGAGACCTGCAAATTCAAAATTGTGTTCACTGAAATCAGTAACTGAACAGTGTTGGTTAATTTAACAAGTCTCCAGCATGGGCTGGGAACTCCCAGGAGGTCAAAACTGCTTCTTTAAGAATATAATACGTTTCTCTTCTTCAGTCTCATTCCATCTCAAACGTACAGGAAGGCCACCCAGATGGCACCTGACAGAGTATCACAGCCATCTAACCCCCAAAACTACATGTAAAGCAGCAGTCTTCTAACTCAGCCATGTCAGAGACACTATGTAACACAATCCCCTGCTGCTGAAGTTTGTTTAGAAAATAGGTATTTGTCATTAAAATATACTGTATGCTATAATTTATCATATTCTAAGATGAGTTGATACTTAAAATGTTTTTGCTTTAATTCCTAATATAACATATAAAATACATACAACCCACCTAAAAGCTTTTTAGAGGCTCCGGCATAATACTAAAGAAAGTAGAAAGGTTCTAAGACCAAAAACTGATACATTAATGTAGTGACAATTCTCTGTAAAATGAATTCATGGCTCTTGAGAAATCAGCATACTTCAGACAGCCATTACAGTCACTTGATAGTTAGGCTGCCCATCTCTGCTAATCTGTCAGACAAAATTAAAGAACCCTGTGTCAAAGGTGACTATCAGGCAGGACTGTATAAGGTACAGTTTCCTAAAATTTGAATTAATGACACTGATTACTTAGTTATTTAAAACATATTGCAAAGTCTCTCTAAGCTAAAGAATTCATTGTAGGTGCACATCAAAGAGAATGCTCACAAAACAAAGGTGGAATTGCATATGAAAAATAGATGGTGTCATACAGCAACTTAAACCTCCAGTATGACCAGCCACTGAGCATCTATACAGGGGATATACAGTCCTAATTAAAATCTCAAATGCCCATAGAACATAGGATTTAAGAAATTTTTAAGATATCAGGAAAACTATTCTTCACTAAGCTTACCTAATTCTTTAAAACTAAACCAAGTGCCTGCTGTGGAATAATGCTCTTGTACACTGTAAAGATTGTCCTTTATATTGGTTTAAAAAACACTGATTGGCCAAGTATCCAGGCAGGAAATATAGGCAGAGTGACCAGACTAGGAGAATTCTGGGACAAGGAAAGGCAGAGAGGCAGTCACCAGCCAGAAGTAGAGGAAGCAAGATGAGAATGCTTTACTGAGAAAAGGTATCAGGCCACGTGGCTAAACATAGACAGAATTATGGGTGAATTTAAGTCATAAGAGCTAATTAGTAATAAGCCTGAGCAATAGGCCAAACAGTTTATAATTAATATATGTCTCTGTGTGTTTATTTAGGACTGAATGGTTGTGGGACTGTAAACAGAAACTTCTGTCTACAACTGTCCACATACAAAATTTCAATTGTGTAGAATAGTTTCTAACCAAATTTACATACATTACATACACCTTCTCCACACAGCCTACGAAAGGAAAGGCAAGCCTGGGCCGTGGTCTCCTCTCCCAGTATACAGTGCTCCTGATCTGGCAGTGGTGATGTCACCACACACATCATGATGACTTGTTCATATTCAGGATTTTCTTTAACCCGCAGGACACTTATCTTAAATACTTTTAAAACATTCCTTTTTTATGGATGAGAAAACTGAAGTCTAGACTAGTCCAAGTTTCAAAGCTAGGAAGGAGGAAGCTGAGACTGGAAGCCAAGTCTGTGATGCCAAAGCCACGCTTCTCATCAGCACTACACAGCTGCTGGGAAGGAACTCAGAAAGTCCCAGTGAGTTTGCCTCTGCTCCGCTGTTTCCACCTCCCATCTACCGTGTGTGTGCTCAACTAGAAATGAGTGCAGTGCTCCTGCTGACAGGGGACACTTCAGCATTTGCGGAAAAACATGAGACACAAATTTATCACGAGGGAGTGAGCATATGATGGAAAGCTCACGTGCCTTTGGTCCTTTCTCGCTACTTCTGGATAATCAATATAATCTGGGGTCGGAGACTGCAGAATTTATCTAGTCGTGTCAGGTTTTAGAACTGAGGGTGCTTAACTTAGAGTCATCGTTACAAAGTGAACTGACACTATGCTATGGAATATGATTCTGTTTCTTGTAGGTGTGGGCTAGTCTGGTGTTTGTACAACTAACTTAAAGAACTACTTGAAGAATTTGATGTAAGCTAGTTAATATTCACTTTTTTTATTAGAGGAGGAGTGGATGGGAATGGGGAAGGTGGGAGGAGGGAGTGGGAGGAGAGGAGGGAGGGAAAACTTTGGTTGGGATATAAAATAAATAAATATATTAATTAATAATAACAATAAACTCTAAAAACTTTAGGAATTTTATATTGTTAAAATTAAAGCATGCTCTCAGCTGTCTAATGGCATGGCTACAGCTAACCACATGTGGCATGTATGCATGTGTTTTGATGACTGTTTCTAACACGTGCCAAGTTACAGGACAGCATCTACTCAGAGTTGTCTTTGCATCCAGTACTGGTTTCAGGTTTACTTTTCCTATCACAGACACTGTCACACTTCTGATCACAGACCTGAGGACTGTGCATTATAAACAGCTGTGAACAGGGTATTTCTATTTACCTATTTACATGCAGAAATATTCACTAAGTGTGTGCTACTAGCTCTTTCTCTTTTACTTTGCAGCATTTTAACCAAAATTTATTTTAGAGACAAAGAAATTTAATAATAGCCAAATTCAAATGTTACCTTTTTGACACCAGTCTGGATAGCTCTCTCTATTACATCCTGTAAGTCATCTGTGTAAGAAAAATCACATATTAAGAACACCTAGAAAATATAGAGAGATATTATCTATAATTTTTTCTCTCAAGGTAAAAATTATAAAAATAATCATGTACTAAAACACAGCCAAGGGGCTGGAGAGATGGCTCAGTGGTTAAGAGCACTGACTGCTCTTCCAGAGGACCCGGGTTCAATTCCCAGCACCCACATGGCAGCTCACAACTGTCTGAAGATCCAGTTGCAGGGGATCTGACACCTTCACACCGATGCACATAAAATAAAGTTAAATAAACCATAAAAATATTAAAAAAAAAAACACAGCCAAGTCAGTGCTATTTCGCTATAATGTAGTAAAACTCAAGTTGCAAAACCTTAAAAAAGTATAAAACAAGAAGCTGAATAACTAATAACTTAATTATACTTTTATTTTTTGATCAAAAAAGAGATGACGGCAGAAGTCAGGAGGTCCAAATTAAAGACGAACTCAATGACTATAATCAATTGACGTGCTGTGTATCTGAAATTTGCGTTTCCATGTATATGAGGGTGGGCACGTGGGTGTGCCCATGCATATACACGCATGTAGGCTAGAGGGCATCACTGTGCGCCTTCCTCTAGCACTGTCCAGCATATATTTTGAGACTCTCACTGAACCTGCAGCCACTGTTTCTGATGGACCCCAGGCTTATAGATTCAGTCTGCTGCTCTCAGCTCTAACATGGGTGCTGGGGATCTGAACTCAGGACTTCATGCTTTGCACAGCAAGCACTGCATACACTGAGCTATCTCCCCAGCCAAGGGTTAGAGCCAGAAACAAATGGGCAACAAATAAAATATAAAAACTCAATTATTAATTTCATATGTAATTATCTGAGTAAATGTAAATAGAATTCAATTATTGTTACTTCTAAAGTAACTACAAAATTTGAGACAAAGATCACCTTAGTTAATCTTATACTGAGTACAGCAGCTAGGGTGGCTAGATTATAAACTGCACAGCTGTAGTAGTGATAATTGACCACTACATAATTTATGTCAGAAACATACACAAACACACATGCATATATATACACATGCAACAGCAAAGCATGTAATCTAAATGCTACATGGACAAGGAAAGCAGAATGTAATTTACTCAGTAGTTACATTTATTATATAAATAACATATAAACATATCATCCAAATGTCCAAATGAAGTAGGAGAGTTAAGTTTTGTGGTGAGACCTGAGGAAGCATTTTTGTTGTTGTTATGAGTGACAGGGACATTGCCTGTATTTAGAAAAGCTACCTACCACCATCTAGAGAAGCGCAGCACGGTCAGTTTCTGACTTGGCTTACTACTGGACGGAACTCTCTTATCCTCAACTGCAAAACCAACATTCCTGTTGGCACATACACAGTGAGCACAGGCAGTGTGCACAGACATGTTGTTGTAGCCTTTAAAATGTGTTGTCACCGCCACTTCCTGCTTAGTCACCTCACAGCCTCCTCAGTGCCCTTGCATGTGGGGTCATCGCCTAGTGACACAGCACTTGCAGAGCTTGTATCAGGCGCTGGCTTGCAGTCTTAGGACTTGGGAGGAAAATGAGCTTACATAATAATACAAACCACTTTTTTCTGCTGAAGCCTACACTTAATCTTTAAAATATAACTCTCTGGTCCCACCTGTATACTAGGTCTTATAGTGGTATATTATTTGTGTTTAATAAATAAATCTTGCCCAAAGATCAGAGTGAAAGTTAGCCACACTAGTCAGCCATATTAGTCAGCCATAAAGGTGGTGCCACACACCTTTAATTCCAGTAGCCATATTAGTCAGTAATACTGGCCAGGCAGTGGTGGCACACACTTTTAATCCCAGCAGCTACACTAGTTAACCACAGAGGTCGGGCGGTGGTGGTGCACACCTTTAATCCTAGCACTAGAGAGGAATATGAGACGGGAGAAGACAGGAGCTCGGGCTCAGTTCTCAGTCTGAGGTTCGATGGATCACCCATTCGGTCTGAGCATTGTAGAGGTGAGAACTCTCTAGTAGGTTGGCTGCTTTGCTTTTCTGATCTTCAGCTTGAACCCCAATATCTGTCTCTAGGTTTTTATTAATTATGTTAAAAGGTCTCTAAGTAGAGACACAGATAGGAGGGGAGAAGGGGAAAATAGAGGGAAAGACAGCAGTACACCTTTCTTCTAGGACACTGCACTTTGTTCTTGGCTGAAAAATGCTTCTTCCTTTCTAAAAGACTTACTTTTTATTATGTGTGTATGTGTCTGAACGTGTATGTGCACATGAATGTTCATGCTGTCAGAAGCTAGAAGAGGGCTTCAGGTGTTTGAGAGCTGGGCTTATAAGCAGTTGTGAGCTGCCAGTACCAGTGCGGGTGCTGGGAACTGGACTTGGGTCCTTTGCAAGAGTACTAAGTGCTCTCTTTTAACTACTGAGCCACTGTAGCCCCTGAAAATGTTTCTTAAGAACTTGATAAATAGGGCAGTAGTGGTACATGCCTTTAATCCCAGCACTTGAGAGACAGAGCCAGGTGGATCTCTGTGAGTTCTAGGCCAGCCTGGTCTACAGAGTGAGTTCCAGGACAGCATAGACTGATTCACAGAGAAAAAGAACTTGATAAACTGATGCTGACAGGAAGTAATTGTTAGGGTGCATGCCCTGCTGTTCAAAACAATGGCTTACCAACATAGCTTGTTTGATGTGGTTGATTGTTTTATCTGACACATAATGATGAGGGGTTTTGTTTTAAAACAAGCTCTTACTACACAGCACGGGCTGGCCTCAAACTTGCTATCCTCTTTCCTCTACCTTCTGAGTGCTGGACTTTTAGACTTTATTCAGCTACATCAAGTTCTTTAATGTTTCAATTTTAAGAGTGGATTATGCTTTTCAAGATCTACCTTGAGGCAGAAAGTCTGTCTTCATAGAAGCTGCCTTAGTAAAAGAAACATTTACCTTGATGCTTCTGCACACCCCTATAAATTCCTCTGAACATAGGATCTGTCAGGTTGATACCAATATCTGTAGAAAGCAAAAGCAAAACATAATTTTTAAAAATTACTTTGAAATATTTCTAAATAGGCTTTTCTAGTCACAACTTTGTTTATGTGAACATTATCAGTGGGCCAGTCACTTGTCGTCACTGCTATGATAAATCTGTGGGATACAAAGGTGACTAAGATTTGATTTCTGCTCTCTAAAGACTTATGACAGAAATGATCAAGACCTATTCACAGGAAATTATGGAGCATTCAAATGAACACTGAGGGGGATAGGAAAGTTCACTAGGAATAGAATCAAAATACATCATATACACATATAAAGTTATCAATAAAATTTTCAAAATACTAAGAACAAAAAAAAAAATGAAAACAGTTCTTATGGGACACAGACAAGGAATTTCTATCAGAGTTTGGTGGCTGGTTCAGAAGAGGGTCCCAGAAAGAAATAATCCTGAACTGAATGTTACAGGATGAGTTATGAGTTGGTGTATGTTCTGAATGAGAACGGCCTCCACAGGCTCAGTTGGTAGAGCTGTTTGGTAAGAACTAGAAGGTATGATCCTGTAGGAGGAGGTGTGTCACTGGGGATGGGCGTTCAGGTTTCTAACGCCCATGCCACTTCCAGTTAGCATTCTCTCTCTGCTGCTTGCGGATCAAGATGTAAGCTCTCAGCTGCAGATCCAGAGCCATTCCTGCCATGCTCCCTGCCACGATGGTCGTGGACTCACTCTCTGGAACTATGAGCCCCAGTAAACTTTTTCTTTTCTAAGCTGCCTTGGCCATGGTCCTTTTCACAGCAATAGAAAAGTAACTAAGACTCCAAGGTTTCAGGGTATGAAACAGAACAGTTCTTTAGAAGTCAAAGGCTTTTCAGTTGCTAAAGAGAAGCACAGGAAAGGGTCTAGACAAAAAGGCCAGGCCAATTACGGAACACACTTGTGTTTAAAAATACCAGATTCAACAGGATGCCTGATGATTTTTAATCAAAGGGGCAAGATTTGCACTGAAGACATTTATTCTGGCATTCTGGAAGCTGAGATCTGAAGGGAGCAACAGAAGTTAGGGTGTCTCATTTGGAAACTGGCAAAAAGCTCATGTCCAATTAAGACAGTTTGATATGGCAATGAAAATGAAGATGTAGAAAAGGAAATAAATTATTTCCTTTATTCACCAACTACACATGGAGTCTGACTTTTGTCAAATGCTGTATGAGGAGTTAGGAAATACACATAATACTTGGTCCTTCCTTATGCTATGGGAATGTACGGTATTCATGAGAACTACAAATATAGTGTGTAACATAATAAGCTACACTAAAAGCAACAGGAAGCCAAAAAATCCTATCTAATTCATTTATTGCATCACTTGGCCCTAGCATAAACACTGGCCTGTGGGATGCATGTAATCTGCACATTAACCTGTATGGGGCACAAAGGAGGGGCAATACGGTTTACAGAGAGTATGGGGAAAAGCTCCACAGAGGATCTGGGTCTTGAAGACAGAGCTTAGGCCTGAAAGCTGAAGGCAAAGGGCATTCTAAGCACAGGTGTTATACCTAAAACACTACAAGAGCTCCAGGGTGCCTGCAGGGCAGAGAGTCTCCAGGAAGAAACATTCTGCAGGACCTCACTCCTCTCAGCCCCCCTCCTCACACCTTTAACATTTGGCAATGTCTGTATGCATTCTGGGTTGTCACACGTGAGAGGAATGCTACTGGAATCTAGGGTTGAAGCTATGAATGCTGCCAAACATCCCATGACCAAGAATTATTCAATACACCAAATCAATGTTGTTCTCGGTAAACTTCATAGAGCATAAAAGGACAAGGGAAGTAAGATGAAAAGTTAGTCATAACCCTGCCCCAAACCTCCCTCATTTAAAATAAACACTCTGAGTTTCCAGCACGGGAAAGAAAATAGACTGACTTCCAGCAGTAGGGGCAGCTGTCTACCAGTAGATCTCCATCCACACTCCTGCCAAATGTCAGCTTCTTATTTCTCTGCCAGGGTTCTGCCAAGCTGCACCCCAGGATGTGCTGCTCCAACATTATGACAGACCTTGAGAGGAGAAGAGGAGTTTGGAGAACCCAAGAGGTAACAAAGAGAGAAGTCTTGGCATTTGAACCAGCAAGAAAAAGGCACAATATGGAAAATTACAAATATGTGTGCATGTCAGCATACCAACAGAGATGGATGAGGTTATGAATCCCTCCTCCATAGGAGGGCTGCTATGATACAAACACTATAATACAAATATGATACTATGATAGCAGTATCTCGTAGGAGGGTTACTATGGTACAAAGACCATCTAACACACAAATCCGCACCACAAATACAATAGGTTTATGGAATGTCAGAGCTCACAAGAAATCACTTTCTAGTTTTCAAATACAGAAAGAAAATTAGCTAAAGGAGACAAGCTGAGAAAGAAGAAGCAGAGAAGAAAGAGTCCTTTCTGTCTAAATACTCCTGCCCGGGGTTTGGTCTGTAGTTACTAGTCACCACCCAACATCGACGACTACACAAACAAAAACAGCCTTTATTGCTTTTAGCCTTTTACTTTTTAACAGTATTTTAAAAATTAATTAAGCTATAATTAATTAATTAAGGTATTTATTTCTGACACCCCTTAATGAAAGCAAGGGAGCCTTTACTGCAGAGGGATTATTGCAATGAGGGTTTTGCTTTGTTTAGATTTGGTTTTTAAAATTAGACTAACTACTCAGATCAGAGTAGCCTCACACTTGTAAGGATCCTTCTACCTGTGTGTACCAAGGCTTGGGCAGAGACATGCCCACAATATTTAGCTGTGATGAGGGTTCTGCCATAGAGCAGAAAGATCAGGCTCAAACCCCAAAATGACGCTAAATGGAGATTTAGAGTCAAGAGAAGGCAGGGATCAGTAGGTAAGTTTCTAAAGGCCCAGCAGGTATACCAAACTCAACTTGACACATTCTTGTTGAAGGTGGACCCCAGCGACAGGAGTGCTGAGGGTAGAAGGTGAGGAACTGAAAGTGGCGTACACCAGGGTGAGGGTTTTCACTAACCAAGAGCTCAGTGTTGGGGCTGGGTCAAGAAGCCAATTCAAGGGCAGTCAGACTCCATTTTCTCCAAGGAAGCCTTTGTCATCAACAAAGTGACCAGAACCCAAAGCAATTAAACACATAAATATCCAGCCCATGGTGGGTGGTGCCATCCTTTGGCTGGAAATCCTGGGTTCTATAAGAAAGCAGGCTCGGCAAGCCAGCGGAAGTAAGCCAGTAAGCAGCACCCCTCCATGGCTTCTATATCAGCTCCTGCCTCCAGGTTCTTGCCTTTTTGAGTTCCTGTCCTGACTTCCTTCAGTGATGAACAGCAATGTGGAAGTGTAAGCAATAAACCCTTTTCTCCCCAACAAGTACTTTTTCGTCATGTTGTTTTGTGTTAGCAACAGAAACCCTAACTGAGACAAATTGGTACTGGTGTAGTATTGCTGTGACACACTAGGTTGTTGGGAGGATTGTGAAAAGGCCTTGGAACTTTGGGCTAGAAGAGTCATTGAATATTAAGAGCTCTTTGGAATGTTCTGGGAGAGCTTGGAAGATAAGACTATTAAGGGTAGTGCAGAGTACGGAGGCCTGCCTTGTGAACTTTCAGAAGGAAGTTTAAAGACTTTATTGGGGCTATTCATTATACTGAATTAAGATTCTGTGGTTCTGGTTAGCAGGGGCTGACCAGCTGTGGTTAACAAGACACCAGAACTGCTGAAGCGAAACCTGTGCTCTGCTGGAATACTTGACGCTGCTCGGCTGCAGCTGAGAAATTAGCGGTGATTAAGAAGAGACCAGCATCACTGAGGTGAATCTTCTGGGAAGTATTTCCTCCACAGAGTAGCTATGCTTTGTGCTGGCAGCCAGGCTTGGTAATGTGTAAGAGTTACCCAGTGGTACTGGTTTTGAAGGCATGAAGGGGTCATGAAGCATAGCGGAGGCTTGGCACTGAGAGGCCACAGAGATCATTGGTGAAGGTGCAGCCTGAGGCTGAGCGTCAGTAGAAGACCGAGGGCTGAAGGGGTCGTGCAAAGAAGTTGAGGCTTGGAATCATGAGGAGTCCTATGAGAGGCTGTGGGTAAAAGTGCAGCCCAGTTGCAGAAGAAGACTCCAGCCTTTTGGAGACGCCAGTGCCATGGGATGACCACCAAGAGCAGCAGCAGCAGGGGAGTGGAGCCCGCCAGAGCCTGGAAGACAAGCTGTGTGTGCTGCAGAGGGTGGAGCTGGAGAGATGACATAATCCCTTTGGAGGAGTCCAGAAGATCATGAGTGGATCTCAGACCTTGAAAAGCTGAAATTTGGGTTTGCTTTGATTTGATTGTAACTATGCCCTGATTTTCCCCTCTTCGAGTAAGAAAGTATTTTACTGGAGCCCATAGTTGAAAGACTTTGGATTTTAAGAGACTAATTTAAAGGGACTGAAATTTTAATGAGTGTGAGTTTGTAAAGATCATGGGACTTTTAAAGTAATGTTCTAATTGTGAGGTCTTGGGGATGAATAAGAAAGGAAAGGTTGTGTCTTAATCATTATGTGTTTGTGTGTCAAGTTGACACAAGCTAGAGTCATCAGAGAGAAAACAGCTGAGCAAATGCCACCATGAGATCCAGCCCATGTGGGTGGTACCATACCTAAGCTAATGGTTCTGGAAATCATAAGAAAGCAGGCTGAGCAAGGCAAGGGGGAGGGGGAGCAAGCCAGTAAGCAGCACTCCTCCACAGCTTCTGCAGCAGCTCCTGCCTCCAGGATCCTGTTCTGTTTGAGTTCCTGTCGAATGTGGAAGTATAAGCCAAATAAACCTGTTCCTCCCCAACCTGCTCTTTTGTGCTTTGCTAAAGCAATAGAAACCCCAAGACACATCCCAACTCTAGTGCAAAGGGAACCAAAGATTAATTGGAGGCTCAGTTTAGGAAGCCATTTTTACCCTTGCCCCAATCCTAGACAGAACAGATCTCAGATATTCTGAGGCAGATGGCAGAAGGCTGGCTCCAGGTGATTTGCTACCTCTTAAGAGTTGTTCTCTAAACTCTCAGACTTCTGGTTCACAACTGTGGTGTACTTAAACCTGCTGGTTCAGTCCTGGCTCAGGTCTACTACAGTGCTAGTGTTCAGCGCCTGCTTCTCCCCTTTCCTACAGGCGTCTTCATGGCTCCCAGTCCTTTTCTCCCTGTCAGTTATGAGAGCCACTGATTCCTTGATAGACCGAGGACAGCCCCTTCATGTCCTCAGCAAGCTGAATGGCAGAGGACTTATGTCCCTCCACTCTGAATCACACTGACTTCCTCTACGACCTTCTCCAGGCTCCCACACAAAATGCTCTCAGACAGAAGCCACTTGCTTGCTTTCCCGCCCACCAGAAAAATCTGTGGAAAGTCTACAGTAATTTAGCACTTCGATAAGAGGAACCAAAAAAAGTTCAGACAAACTAATTAGAGTTCGATCCATGAACAAGATTCATGAAGCACAATAAAATGAAATGACTACAATTACAGTTATGGAAAGAGAGCTTTGGAGTCAGAACTCTTGGCACTGCCAGTTACTAGCCAAATAATCTTGGTCCCTGATGGGCCTCCATTATCTTCTTGGTGGATGAGCAGAATTACCCTCTGGCAACAGAATATGACTCAGATCCAAGAACAAAGATGACAGTATTTTGCACATTAAAAGTCCTATAATAGGTAATTATTAGCATTACCAAGTATAGAACAAAAACTAGAACACGCCACCACCATATGGGATTTGAGCTATTTTGTTAGCTGTACTGTTCTAGCATCTTCAGTACTCAGTGCTCCCAATGCAAAAATTTGCTATCCAAGAGTCAACTGAGTCTAGCTGTTTGATACCCCCATGTGTATATGTTAGCATGAGTGTTTATTAGTATTCACATGCATGTATGTAAACGGGTACACGTATGTGTAGCCCTGGCATTGATGTTGGGAGTCTTTCTCCATTTACTTTTCATTTCATTCATTGAGGCAGGGTTTCTCAATTGAACCCAGAACTTGCCCCTAAAACTGGTATTGGGCTAGCCTGGAGATCCTCTGCCTCCCAAGGTCCAAAATTACAGATAGGCTGCCACGCCCACCTGGGTTCATTTGGGGGATCTGAATTCTGGTCCTCACTTTAACCACTGAACTATCTATTTTGTCTGTTTTGATGGGTCTTCAAAAACAAAAGCAGCTAAAATTCTATTATTTTTCTTGTTCAGAATGTGCTGATCTATGATAAGGGATAGTATCTTAACTTAAAAGCATTCTTATCAGAAGTATGCTTATTGGCAATTAACTCAAAAGTAAACAAATACTGCTGGGCAGTGGTGGTGCCTGACTTTAATCCCAGCACTTGGGAGGCAGAGGCAAGTGGATTTCTGAGTTCCAGGCCAACTTGGACTACAGAGCTAGTTCCAGGATACACAGAGCTACACAGAAAACAGAAACCCTGCCTTGAAAAACAACAACAACAACAAAAATAGTGTATGTATGTATGTATGTATGTATGAACAACTTCTAGTCAGTTCGGTCAAAGATGTGAATAGCCTGAAAAGTAGGAGACCAAGTGAGAAGGAATGGAAGACACGGTAACATGAGCAATTACTGCTTCCTTCTGACTGAAGGAGTCATACACCAGAATGCCCTGCTATACAGGACAGTGATGTCTCCATTTTATGAGCTTTTAAAAGTAGCTATCTTAGAGCGAGTGAGTTCCTGGACACCCAGGGATACACAGAAAAATCCTGTCTCGAAAAAGAAAAATAAAGAAAAAAGAAATTAAGAAAGAAAAAGGCTGTCTTCAATAAAAACTTCAAGTGGTGATGAATTTATTTTACAAAACTAAGGGAACGTGCTGGCACAGTTGGTCCTCAGAGAAAGCCAGATCTGCAAGCCAAAGCCTCACCGATTGGGTTTACTGAATCATGTCAAGGGATGTTGCCTAGATTTAGGGACACAGAGAGACAGCAAACAAGGGATTTAAAATGGTTTTGGATTTTGTCAGCCTTGAGGTATAATTTCAAGGTCAGGAACTGCCAAGAAACAGAACAAGCGACTTGAACCACTGTTTAGCAAACAGACAAATCCAAAAGGTGGGATACCCAGCCCAGTTTCCTCAGCAAGTGAGTGACAAAAGATACATAAATGAACAGGAGGATGCTAGAGCGGGGGATCCAAATCCCCTCCCTGCAGCCACTGTGAGATAGGCCTCTCCACGTAGGACCGGCTTCTGCTTCTATACCAAAGTGTTGAAGTTAAAGGTGTGCACCACAATACCTGGCTTTATTACCTATGTTGCTTGTCCCTTTACTAATAATGGTTGTACATTTTAAATTGTTCTTAAAAACAACGGACTATTTTGATACCTATGAAAATTATTTAAAAGAACAAGATTCAGGTAGGGAAAGATGGTTCAGCAGTTAAGAGTTGCTGCCACTCTGCCAGGAAGGTCCAAGTTGGGTTCCCAGCACCCACATCAGATGGCTCACAACTGCGTGTGTCTCTAGCTTCAGGGGAAGTCCCCTCTTTTGGCCTTCATAAGTATTTATACACATGTACCCACTCCTGCATGAATAAAATAAATCAATTAATTTAATTGATTTTAATTTGATAAAATTACTTTTAAGTTCAAGATTTAATGTCTATAAAATTTTATTGCAGTATGGACACACTGACTTGTTTATATACTAGGATTGCTTTCTGATAACAAGGTGTAAGATAAGAAAAACACAAACTGTTTTCTCTGATATACTCACAATTCACATTAAATATATTTTAAACATTATTATAAAAACATTGCAAATAAAAGAAAACTTGACGCACTCTTTTTAATCTGTATTATCACGTCACAAAACAAAGTTTTGTTGCTTCTTTTGTAAATCTGTGCGAGCCCTTCTTTTTAGTTCTTCGGATCAAGAACCTGGACACCCTCAGCCTAGACTCTTAACAATCAGTAGCAGGTATAGTGATGGCAGAGACAAGGAGTGAGGGGCTCTTGCGCCCTCTCCAGGACACATCACTTCCTAGCACCTCATGTCAAGCTCCGCTTCCCTCTTCTGTCCTTTCATCGCCCTGATTCAAAATCTGAAATACTTCCTTCCACACCTCTCCTTACCTGCCATTAAATCTACGGAGTGACTATCTGGGTAACCTCATCACTGCCTCTTCTCATCTTTAAATGGCCGAAAATTTCACAAAGACAAGGTTCATGATGAAATGACCCACAACTGCATCCCAGAAAGCACGATTCTTTTCATATAACTGGCATTTATATGATTTCCTGAAAAGCCTTCACCGAAACTTCACTCCATACAGAGCGACACTTAAGTAATCGAGGCTTTTGGGTTCCAAGTTATCCTTCCAACCCTACCTTTCACAATGTCCCCAAAGTTTCTCAAAGTATGAATTTGAATCCCTGCCGCACTCTCCAGCTGTTTAATGGATCGTGGTACTTGCCACGTAACACAATTTGTTTCTTTTCCACCGGGCTGTGGACCCTTCCACGTTCCTAGGACACAATGCCAAGTCTATCAATCAGCGGTGATATGAACGGATGCTGAGTGAACCGGTACCTTGAAGGCATTGTCCGGCAGGCCGTGAAGAGGATTGACGGCTCCCGAAAAGCAAGAGAATATAGTGATAAACTAGGGGGCGGTGCTTTCCTTTTCTTTTGTGGGGATGGGAGACTCAGGGGCTAGCCCATGCTATCAAGCAGCCTACCGCTGACAGACACTCCGACACTTACTCCTCTATTTTCAACTGAATAAAATACAAAAAATAGGGGCACAATCACAATTATACACAACTCGTGCGTCCTCACAAATGAACACACACTCTGGAAACCATCCCTGATCAGGAACCGGATCACTCATTGCCGGCACGCGAGGCGTCCCGGAATCCTCTGCACCCTCGAAAGGCCAAGCTGCGAAGAGGGGACCCGAGACCGCCAGCAAGATCCAGAACCAAGGAAAACCCGCCCTTACCCACGAACTTGAAGCGACTCATGACAGCGCGGCAGGCTCCTCCCCGGCAGAAGCGGAAGTGGCCCGGGAGCGCGCTCAACCTTCCGGCTCCGGCTCCGTCTCGCGACCGCCCCCTTCCGGGTACCCGGCAGCCCCCGCGGCGGCTGCTGAAGGTGAGCCGGGCACTATGGCGTTCTGCGCTGCCCCGGCCTACCTGACGCACCAGCAGAAGGTGCTGCGGCTATACAAGCGCGCGCTGCGCCACCTCGAGTCGTGGTGTATCCACAGGTGGGAAGAGGGGACCGGGGATTCGGGGGGCGGAGGCTAAGAGGCCCTGTAGGCCGGGGCTGCTCAAGGACTTGGGACCACAGTGACGGGAGCCCGCCCTTGAACCTGGATGGTGTTGCAGCCCTGTCTGCTTCTTGATCTAGTGGAGACGATTGTGTGGGGGTGGGACCGGGGTTCATCGCAGAAGGTTGCACGAAAAGAATAAGCAAAAAATACCTCGGGCTGTCATTATCAGGGGTCCAGCGCTAACCTTTTCGCGACTCGGTCGTACTCAATAGCAACATTAAAACGTACATGATGTTTAAGTTTGCAGAGTAACTCGGAAGTTGGTGATTATTTTAGCCTTGTTTTACAGATGAGCAGCCTCAGGAATTGGCTTGCTCACGACTATCCAGCTTCAACTTCAACGTGGCCAAGTTAGGATTAAAATTTAGGTTTCTGACACAAAAAACATCATCAGTCTCTCTCCTGTCCATCATCTTTCCTCTGTTTAGCTTTATCTGATCGCTCCTTCTCATTACCGAGGCATGGTTTTCCCCTCCTACATAAATCTCTTCAACCAACTGTGACTCTGTTAAGAGCCTCATATGGTGGCATATACTGGGGGAGACAGAGAAATCCTCGGTTGCATAATGAATTTGAGGGGCCAGCCTATGCTACTTTTTAATTTTTTTTTACAAATAAACAAACAACAATAGTGTTAAGACATGTAGAATTTCATGACCTAAAAGAAATGCAAGGGCTGGAGAGATGGCTCAGAGGTTAAGAGCACTGGCTACTCAATCAGAGGTCCTGAGTTCAATTCCCAGCAACCATATGGTGGTCCACAACCATCTGTATTGAGATCTGGTGCCTTCTTCTGGCCTGCAGGCATACAAGCAGGCAGAACACTATGCACATAATAAATAAATAAAAATCTTAAAAAATATTTAAAAAAAAAAAGAAATGCAAGGTGGGTAACAACCCAAGATGTTAATATTAGACCTCCACATTCTTATCCTAACACCTAGTCTCACACGAAGGGTGTCCAAGAAAATGCTGGAAAACTGAGTGGCCCTGGAAGGCCTGCGAAGGTTGTCTCTGAGTCCTAGGATGCAAGTCTGTGACTCAGCCTCTTCGTTAAGCAGGCGCATGAATGTGCACAGTTGTACGATTGCTAGCTTCTTTCCTCAGATTTTCTTATTTGTTTGCCAGCATTTGCCAGCTTCTATTCGGGATGACAAGTAAATGACAGTTAATCTTTTTTAAAGCTGCAGTCCCCCGCATGGATTAGTGGGGAAAGTGCAGGTAAATGCATAGATGAGAGAACTGTCAGCCTTAACAGAGGAAGTTAAACTTTCAAGAGTTTAGGTCATGCTGTAGTGCACCTGGACATACTGGAGGTCACGATCATGGAGGGAATGCTCACACTGGTTACTATCTCAGTCCTCGCCCGAATCACTTCCTTTAAAAAACCAACAGAAACCAACTACAAATGCAGCTATCACATGTGTGGAAGTGGAGGACAACCTCGGTGTCAGTCCTCGCCCTTCCCCCTTGTTTGGGACAGGGTCTTTTGTTGTTCAGCACTGGGTATGCCAGGCTAGTTGGCCTACAACCTTCTGGAAGTCTCCTGTCATCTCCTCTCATCGTGAGGAGGACTTGAACTACTGATGTGTGCTCCCATGTCCAACTTTACTTGGGTTCTGGGACTCCGTCATCGGGTCCCAGCGCTTGCATGGTTCTGGGACTCCATCGTCGGGTCCCAACGCTTGCACGGTTCTGGAACTCCATAGTCGGGTCCCAACGCTTGCATGGTGCTGCTTTACCCAGCCCTCATTGGCCTCCTAGGCTGCACTCTGGTTCCATCCTAAGACTCTGTAGTGCTGTGTATCCTGTGGACATCCTCCGTGCCGGTGCTTGAGTTAGTTTACTGGGCCTTAGACTGAGTTTATCCAAATTCATTAAAACCAAGTTGTTGTTTTCACTTCCTCGTACTGACTGTATTCTCAGATTCCCTGTGCCAGCTAATGGCGTTACTGGCAATTTAGTCACTAGTCTGTAGTCTTAGACATATTTTAAGATTCTCAAGTTTCATTTCTGCCAGTAGCACCTGTCCTAGTGCATCATGCCTTATTAGACACTTTTTCGAAAACCATTTTCCCCTAGAATGCATGTTATGTCACTGAGCTCTTGGAATATGCCAGCCACGTTGTGAAGAATGCTCATGGGTGTAGCACGGTTATTAAAAACCCAGAGACAGAAATTGGGGTTCGGCCTGAAGGTCAGAGAAGCAAAATAGCCAGCCACTGGCTCTTACCTCTGCCTCAGGCTGGAATAGCAATCCTGCCTCCAGGAATCCCAGAATGAGACTGTGTGAGAGCTGTCTCCTCCTGTTTTATGTTACTCTCTAGTACTGGGATTAAAGGTGTGTGTCATCACTGCCTGGTCAGTAAGGCTGATAAGTTTTACTCTCTGATCTTCAAGCAAGTTTTATTTATTAAAATACAGATAAAATATCACTACCCATGGGACTTTTTTTAAAAAAATTTTGTTTGTATTTGAGACATGTTTCTTTGTGTAACAGCGCCAGCTGTCCTGGAAGTAGCTCTGTAGACCAGGCCAGCCTCAAACTCACAGAGATCCACCTGCCTCTGCCTCCCAAGAGCAGGGATTAAAGGTATGTGCCACTACCACTCAGCAACTCATGGGATCTTTATGTCAGCCTTTAGCTACATTAAGTAATTTTCATGAGACTCTACAGCTAGTTTAGCAGTAGTCTAGAGAGGCTCGCGCTCTTAACTTCGTCATCTAGATGGGCATTTGTTTTGTTTTCCTATGTCTTGTCTGCTGTCAGCTCCCTGATTTAGGCCCTTGTCGTCTGTGGCCTGAACTGTTTGTTGTCAAAGGCTCCTGATGTCTGCTCACAGTTTCTTCAACACTAGATAGTTACTGATTGAAGTTTGTGAGCAGGTGTGAAAATCAGCGTTTAAGCACCATCTACATAATTTGAGCAGAATTCTTTCTCCCTTCATACCTCCCTTCTTAGTCTTCTGTGCATCTCCAGGATTGGCACAGCATCTAACACGAGATGGGAGGACCTGTAGCAGTTGTCTCTGAATGCATATTGAATGAACCTGCAAGAGGTGTTGTCTTTCTTTCCCTTTCATGGCAAAATCCTCATTCTTTGGAGAGGAAGTGACCAGGCTGTACTAATGCAATGTTGCTGATGAGCTGGAAGTGACCAGGCTGTACTAATACACTGTCTGTTGCTGATGAGAGGGAAGTGACCAGGCTGTACTAATACTGTGTCTGTTACTCTTTGAAGGGCTGCAGATGAAGTAGTCAGTGACTTGGGAGGTCGATGAGGTACCAGAAAGTTGCTCATCTTGGATGTGTTGGTAGGAATGCTGATCTGCCCACTCAAGCAGATAACTGTTCTGATGTCCGCAATCATTTTGATTTAAGGGACAAATACCGGTACTTTGCTTGTTTGTTGAGAGCCCGGTTTGAAGAACATAGGAATGAGAAGGATATGATGAAGGCCACCCAGCTGCTGAGGGAGGCGGAAGAAGAATTCTGGCAGAACCAGCACCCTCAGCCGTACATCTTCCCTGAGTCTCCCGGGGGCACCTCCTACGAGAGATACGAATGCTACAAGGTGAGCGAGGCTACGCAACAGCTGCTTCTCAAGGACCAGCTTTACCCCCGCCCCAGACCTCAGCTCTGTATACCACGTGCCACTGAACAGCGGCTATATCTCCCCTGGCAGCGGAACATTTTTCTCTCCTCTTTACATAAATTCAGCTCTAAGGTTTTGCAGTGAACTTTTGGCAAAGCAGTGTTTAAGTGTTTGGTATGTAGCTCTTCTGGGGTCTTAGAGTTAGCCAGTTTGGGTTGGTGCTGAGTGTTGCTCAGTCTACTCAGGTAATGCTTCCGTCATTTTTGGTGTTTAGGGAATGCAAGCCAGAGAGGAGTGGTACCAGTTTTCTCGGACTAACTGTAATGTTTGAGCCACAAGCCCCTTGACTTTGGGCATTCTCTTTTACCTCCCATGTCTGCTTGCCCACTGCTCTTCAGAGTCGGAAACAGTGATAGTAACAGTTTACACATGCACACACACACGTATAGGTATATGTGTGTGATACGTATGTATTGGTGGGTGTACTTGTAGAGGCCAGAGCTAACTTGGGGCATCTTCCTCAGTTGCTCTTCCTTTTATTTTTGAGATGGTTCTCGCTGAACCTGGAGCCCATTGTTTTGGCTAGGCCGGGTGGCCAGTCAGCTCCAAGGCCCTTCTGCCTTCACTTGCCTGTCACCAGCATAACAGGTGCTTATCACCATGCCTGCTTTGCCATGGGCACTGGGACTCTGAACTCAGGTTCTCAGGCTAGAGCGGCAAATACTGTATTTTACCAACTAAGCCTTCTCTCCAGCCCATACTTGGTCATAGAAGCCCCTTGAGTTTTGTCTTCTGACTCCTGAGCAGGCCTTGTCCATGGTGTTTGTAAAGGTAGGCTATGGAATAACACATGATTTTCTCTCCTGGCAGGTTCCGGAATGGTGCTTAGACTACTGGCATCCCTCTGAGAAAGCAATGTATCCTGATTACTTTTCTAAGAGAGAGCAGTGGAAGAAGCTGAGGATGGAAAGCTGGGATCGGGAGGTGTGTCTTTGGCTTGGTCAGCCTGTGAAAAGAGCTTGCCTCTGTGGCTGAGGTCCACAGTTCAGCCTTGACAACTAGACTTTCAGTTTCTCACTGTGTTGTTTCACACTGGCCGTCTTCCCGATAAGTTGTCTCTCTCTAGTATGTTTTGGGTGTCACTGTTCTGTAATTTTCTTTGCCCTTCTCCCACTTCATCTCTTTTTCCTGTCCTATCCAGTTGTTACCCCTTCTCTATTCTAGAGCCGCAGGCATTTTTCATTCAATTTAGGATGTTCAGAGTTAGATTTTAGCGACTCTTGCTGTAGCGTGAACGACACGAGGAAACAGGAGTCTAGTTTACGTTAGTATAGAAATTAAGTAGAAAGGTTGTGTGGCCTACAGTAAAGTCATACAGTATCTGTGTGGGAGGAAATAGACATTCAGGATGTCCCCTGGAGGGGTGTTCATTGGTTGTGGGGGGATGGGTGAGGGCAGGGATATGTCAGAGGTGGTGGTTAAGATGGGGGAGATGGGGAAGATGGGTAAGGTGGGGGGGGAAGCCTCTTGTATCCAGGAGAAATCAGTTAGGAAGGGTGAAGTTTGAGAATCTGGCAGATGTGAAATATAGATTCCAGTTGACATCTTTAGGTGTAGGAATCTTGTCTATAAGTATTTGTGAGTCTTCACTTGTATTTAACCATAAAGATGAACCGAGCAGTGGTGGCGCATGCCTTTAATCCCAGCACTGGGGAAGGCGGTGGTGGAGCATGCCTTTAGCCTTTAATCCTAGAGTCTCAGTGGGCATTTACGAAGATAGCAGGCGGGCAGCAGTAGCTAGAGATGGGTATCTCAGTTCACCATTTTGGAAGTTGTACTGGCTCTAAGAGAGAAAGTTCAGGATGTTGGTATTAGAAGTCTGTGGCCACGGTAGAATAGAAAGGCCTCTGTGGCCAAGGGCACCATGTTTTCTATGAAGTATTATAAAAAGGTTTAAAATACGTTTTCATAGCTGGGCAGTGGTGGCACACTTCTCATGTGATTCACCTGAATTAAACTGGCCATTCTCAGGACCTTCTTAATTTGCATCCCTAATACACTGACCTGGGGCTTCCTCCCAGTGCTTTTGGAGAGCATTTAGCTAAGACGAAAATGTATCCTGGGACCAGTGGGAGACCATGACAAGAGGAATCGGGAAGGTGACTTTGCTTAAGAAGAGGGTAGCCTGAGGAGTTAGAGGCCAGCCTGGGCTACATAGCAAGTTCCAGGCTAGTAGACTTGGCTCCATAAAAAGATACTGACTTGAAAAAACAAAAAGACTCTTCCAAGAGAGGAGTTGTTGTGAGGAAGAGTTTATATGAAATTTGTCTTGATGCTGAGACTCAGGGTGGGAGGAGACAGGTCACAGGGAAGCTGTCGTGAGTATGGTCTTAGTGTTAGATTCCTTTGGTAATTATTCCTTCCTTGTCCCCTTCTAGGTTAAGCAGCTGCAGAAGGAGGCATCACCTGATGGTGTTATGACTGAAGCTTTGCCTCCTGCCAGAAAGGAAGGTGACTTGCCCCCACTGTGGTGGCATATTGTGACCAGACCTCGAGATCGGCCTATGTAGATACAGATGCTTGCAAGTGGAAGAAGCTAGAGAACATGTTCACACTTGCCCTAATAAAACAACTAACATGCTTGGCTATGATGGAGGTGTTCTTCCCAGGATTACTACTGTGGCACTGAGTATTCCTGGATTGTGGTTTGGTTTTTACCGTATATATCATGCTAAGAAAAAAATCATGTAGAATCACATTGATGGCAGATGTGCTCAGTGAGGAAAAGGCTTACAGCAGAACAGATGCTAGATTGTTAGGCCCGGGCTGACAGTTTAGCTTTGTGTGCGTGCAGTCGGCACACGCGTGAAGGCAGAGGACTGAGGTGGTCCTCACCTTCCACCTTAGACATGAGGTCTCTTATGCACTGCTGTACAGTTCTGGGGATCCAAACCTAGGTCCCTGTAAGTGCTTTATCCACTGAGCCATCTCTCTAGCCCAACTGAGTTGAGGCTTAAAGATGAAGTCTTAAGTAGTAAAGGGAGCAGAAGAGAAATAATGAGGACTAAAAGGAAAAGAGCTGGTTTATGTGGGTTCTCGGTCAGCTTCATGTTTGCTAGGGTTCCAGGCATGCACTACCACCCCTAGCTACTTCTAAAGATTTTATTAATGGGATTTTAGTTTTACAAAAACAACTCTCCTGAGAGGAGCACACAGGAGGCATGGAGTTCAGGGCTTTCTGGAGATGGAGTGCAGGTTTGATGGCTGGGGTGAAGGTCTAACGTGGGATACAAGTATCCAGCTGTCTCCTCTGCTGAGCATGGATTGTTCACAGTCAAAGGTAAGGACAGTGCAGACCTTTCTTAGTATTTCAGTTTTTAAAAAGGTAAAGCAGAGAAGGTCAGCCAGCAGGCAAGCCCATTTCTCCCCAGGACCCATGTATGTGAAGGGGAGAACTGATGTCCAGATTGCCCAGTAGCCTACACACACACACACACCATGGACACTCAGAAACCTCCATACACACACTGTGAACACTCAATGACCTCCATACACACACCGTGGACACTCAATGACCTCCATACACACACTGGACACTCAAGCCAGCATTTTTCTTTGTTTTTGTTTCTCAAGACAGGATTTCTCTGTGTAGCTGGCCTGGAACTCCCCGCAGACTAGGCTGGCTTTGAACTCAGAGATCTGCCTCTGCCTCCCAAGTGCTGGGATTAACGGTGTGCGCCACCACTGCCCATGATGGCAGCATTTTTAAGAAGTGCACACCTGTAATCTCGGCACTCAGGATACAGAGGCAGGTAGATCTCAACGTTGAGTTCAAGACTACCCTGGTTACCCTGAAGTTTCAGCTCAGCCAGGGCTGCAAAGTTGAAACTCAGCCTTTAAAGAAAAGTGAGGCAGCCCGCCAGTACAAACTACTTGCTTTTAGGTTTTGGTTTAACTCATTGGAACTTTTCAAATCATTAGTTTAGACAACTCCACCGTTAAAGCTCCCAACTGCCACAGAAATAACCTCTTCAACGTTTCTAAGTTTAGTTTTGAGACTAGGTCCATGTTCTGACATTTGACAAGGCCTCAAACAATGTGAATGAGACTTAAGGACTTTTTTCTTAGTGGTTCTTTATTTATAAGGTAGGCTGAAGCAGTTGTTACAATGTAGAAGGGAGACACTTTACACACTGTTATTATACAAGTTTAGAACAAAAACTGCACAGGGAGAGGTCAACTCTCAATACAAACTAGCAACTAAACCACAATAATTTACCTTTAGAAAGGGCATTTCAGCTGTGACACTGCTTTTACAATATGCAAAAACACAAACAGAACTACCCAAGGTGTTTGTCACATTCTTTCTACATTGAATTTGGCAACAGTTTATATTAGCTTTATTCAGATTATACTAACGTTTAAAAACTAAACAAGTGAAAAGCTGTACCAACGTACAGTTACATCCATTCCTTTCAAAGGTTTAAAATACCACTTGTATCTATTAGAATGACCTTGCAGCGATTTCTGCATCTGCAAAAACCATCTCAAGCATCATATGCACAATGCATCAGCTACTTTGAGTCATCAAGATTGGTGGGCTAAACCACAGGCACTACTGTTTGCTTATAGTGTGTAAAAGGAGCTTGTTTTTCAAAGAAAAGAGCTTAAGTCATTTCTAATAATCATGCCTTTGCTTTAAAGCCATAACATAAAATGTCCTTGGAGCAATCACAGCAGTGTTAAACATTAATATATAGAACAATGACTAGAGGAACGGTACTCGCACATCCAATGTGGTTATGTATTAAAGTATAAGTTTATGTCATCGGAGGTCAGAGCCAACAGAGATCTGCAGAGCACATAGGACCCACCAAGCTGCTTGTCCTACAAAGTCAAATGTGGACTGTCAGCCACTGGACTGCCGAGGGCCTGGCCTTTTAGACACGGCGGTCTTCAACATGATTCCTTGACATCAAATATCTCTGTTGACTTTAGGGATGGGCATTGTAACAAATTTAACTTCCACTTTAAAATAAAAGACCCATTTAAAAAAGAAGAAAAAACATTGCCTGACTAGAGATCAGACTCCCAATGACAGTAAATAAATCCTCCTCGCTCCGGTGTTTAGAAGCCAATCAACTGCCCTTATGGAATGGAAGAAAAACAAGCCCCCTGATTGGTAAGCACATTGGCAAATTGCTAGACTCCAAGCTGGTTACCCTTGATAAATCTGTTTGAGTTTTTTTTTTTTTTTCTTCAAAATATCTGGGCTTTTTAAGGTACCCAGCCTGCTGGGCACAGTTAAGTAAAAGGCATTTTCTATATCTAAGAATTCCCTGCTATAATTTTTAAATGTTTTCACGTTTTCTGAATTGCCTTACCCCTTTGGATGTATTGGATTCAGTGGAAGTGAGTATAAGACGAGAAAGTAATAGGGGTCTATGTCTACCTGTGGCAGCAGCATGCGTGGGATTGGATGTGGGTGCTATGTGCGGTCAAGAGGAATGCTGGGAGAAAGGAAGTCCTTAAAAACCCTACAGAAACAAACACTGCAATCTAGTATGGCTTATTCGGATGCGTTAACCATGAAGCTACTGGAAATTCAACCTACAAGGCTACTCTTAAATGTAACAGGATTGGCTAAGTTGACAGTGTGCCCCTCCCACAGCCCTCCCCCCAATCCCAACACAGTCACCATGTCCGGGTTCATTTCTCTGCATATTGCTCAATTGTTAGTCCTGCCTTTCTCATCCAGAACACAGTATACATGGATAAGGGTTTTACCCCTTATCCATTGTGTTTGTCCATTAAAATAACTTGAATTTGCCTCTAAACTAGACGACTACAATGCATCTACAAAAGCTTGAGGGAAGAAAAAGAATAAGTATGTAATCCTTTTGTGAAATTACTCTGAGGTTCCCAGCCCCAACCCACCCCCTCCCCTTTATGCATTTAAAATTTTACAAAGACTTGTAAAAAAGTTAAATGGAATTTGGCACCTTCAGAAAAATCAAAAGGGAAACTAAGATTAAAATATGCAGAAAGAAACTGTCAATATTTACAAATTAAAAGATCAAGATTATGTCAATTACATGTTGCTTTTTAATTCTTATCTAAAGATGAATACTTTCAAAAGAGCAGAATTCCGAATTGCCTACAAAATCTTTTGCTTGATTATAGACTGGAATGGATCAGACAAATTAGGTTCTATTAATGAAAGAGTTCATTCCCCACGGGCAGCACTTCCTGGGAACTCTGAGAGCCTAAGAGAAGCGAGGGGCTGAGCGATCGTTGGTGGTGGTCTTCTTCAGCTTCACACCCCTTCGGATGGCGTTCAGCATGTCTTCTCCCTGAGGGCTTTCTCTCGGGCTCAGGTCTGCAGGGTCACTCTCTGGAATCGGGCCTGGGGAGACAGTGGCACTTGGGGGGTCCCTTTCCTGGTCTTCAGCCTCGCTCTCTGGAATCGCCTGTCTGTGCTCCTCGGGTATACAGGGCTTTGGGCCTGGAAGTGGAGGGTTGACAGAGGCTTGGCCACTCCACAAGGAAGAGGGTATGTTGGCGACACCCTGGGGTCCCTCCCCCACAGAGGGAGACTCAGGACTATGCTCACCCCGCTCCTCTGGCCCATCTGGAGGGGATGGCAAAACCCCAGGGAGGTCTGGGACAGTTGGGGTCTTGACAGGGATCACTGGTGTCTTGATGGGGATGGGACCAGCTCCAATGGTCCCTCGACGGACAGAAGGCTTGGTGGAAGGGGTCCGTCGGATGGTTGCCACCCCTGGCGTGACCATAGCGGGTCCGAGGGTGGTGGGAAGGCCAGCAGTTGAGGCTGGACGCTTAGCCTGGAACATCCGCCTGTAAGACTGGCTGATGTCACTATTCCGTGGGATGGTGGAGGACTTGTCAAACTCCTGCTGATCTGCCTCCTGGTCGCCGCTCACAGAGAAGTAGTCATAATCTGAAACTGAGGGGAGGATTGATTAGCCAGGTCTGGGTCCAGGGTGACCGCTCTTTTCCCAGGCCATGGTGGGAGGACAGGAACCACATCAGGCAGAGGACACATGGCCTCCCCCTCCCCTGCCCAGATGTTGACATATTCTGCCTCAGTACCAATTCCCTACAGGAGCCCTTTGCTCTGCCCACTAATGTACCCTGGGTACCCACAGCAGGACTGTGAGACTGGGGAAGGCCCTAAGACTGCTGGGTGGTGACAAAGCTGCCACCAACCACTCCAAGAGGAATGCAGAAGGTGGAAGGAGATACACTGTCCCATCCTGTGGTCCAGAATTAGACACAGGAAAACAGACCATCTCCCTGACAACTAACTGCTCGTGCGAAGGCTAGAGAATGGAGCAGCTCCTGAAAGCAAAGTACAAAGGCTCATGCCTTCACACCTGCTTTAAAATGGCGCCATGTATGTCTCAGGGCCATGGGGGGGGTGCTTACAGTAAGCATCGCACGGTCAAGTTTCTGAACAACAAACAAACCGACTGAAATTTGAGGCCTGTGGCTAGATAATTCTTTGTTGGGTGAGGTCTGGTGAGCTGCTGTTCTAGAGAGGGATAGCATAGGTCCCAGTCTCTACCTTCTCGATACCAGTAGCACCCCGACAGAGCACTGCTAAAGATACGCCTAGATTCTGC